TGGGGGAAAGGGGGGGGCCCAAAGGGCCCCGAGGGGGGGGGGAAAAAATGCCAAAAAATTTTTTTGGGGTTTTGGGGAAAAAAAAAAAAAGCCCCCAAAATTGGGGGGGGTTTTTTAGGGGGGGGGGAAGGGGTTCCCCTTCTAAAAGGGGGGGGGGGTCAAAGGTTAAAAAATTTCCGCCACCAAAAAAAGGGGCCCCCCCCCCCCCCCCCCCCCCCCCCCTTGTGTTGCTCCCGAGATTTCTGGGGAAAGTTGGAAAATCCAATCGGGGAACTACATACTGCCTCAATCATGACAAACGGAAGCGGTAGGCAGGCATCATCGCTCACCAGGTAGTCCAGGCCAGTGCCACCGTCCTCTTCGCTAATAGCCACTCCCATCAACCCAAGTTCGCCTAGCTGAGCAACCTGCTTGGGGGGGGAAATCATCATTTTTTCTTGTCATCGAACGCGTGGTGGGATGTTCGATGAACATGGATAATTTATCCGCATACATATCGCACACCTCCTGAGCACCCGCAGACTGCTGTGCGGTGAACGGTACGCACAGCATATGCCCAAAAGCGAGGGGGATTCGCGGTATTAACAGGCAGCAACACCATCGTCATCGTCATCCTGTCCAAAAAAAGAAAGAAGAGGAACAGCGGTCGCACCTGATCCTTAGGAAAGGCATGGTTCTTGTCCCACTCTCCGGCGTTGGGAGCGAGCTCGTTGTCCGCAAAGCTGCGGCACATATCTCGAAGCATCGTGTGCTCCTCCGGTAGGCTGTTCCACGTCAAGAAGCCTCTCCCTCCCGCAACGCGGCAACCCACGCTGCGTCCGACAGTAGCAGCAAACCGCGCAGTTTTCCGTGAACAAGCTTCACGATGAGTGGGGAATGACACCGATGACACAGCAAGGGCATACTAGCGCCGCGAGAGAGACGCTATCTTGGCTGCGGTATCATCTTCAGTTCGGGTTCGCGGCTGATTTCCCATGTGCATGACATTGGCAGTCCAAATATCCTCTGCTAGTCCCTACTGTAGGCGCGGTCTCCGGTCGAGGATATGGAGATATTCGAGAAGTCATGACGAGTGACCTCTTCGCATTGGGCAACCGGTTGGAGGTAGTGTAAGCCTGGCCTCTCTGCTGCCGTGCGAGCGTAGCGGGCTACAGCAGTACATAACGTTATCTCCAACGTCCAGGTGCACAACTCGAGAGGTGCGGAAAGCGGAGAGCTGCAACAACCTTCCTCGCAGCAGCTACCACTTGAGCCATTGTACCTTCTCAGGAGCTGGCGAGCGGCACCGCCACTGCAAGAGCCAGCTTAACCTTGAGCTCATAAGGCTAGAACTCCTACTGCTACAATGCAGACTAGATTGTATCTTGAGCAACACCGCACTCAACCCTCGTGGCAAAAAGAACGTAGGCGCTGTGCTACGCTACACTACCGAGGCCTAGGGCACCCACATCATGGTAAAACCAGAGCGGGAGCATGGAGGTTTGTTGGTAGACCGGATCACACACGGTCGGCGCAGGTACACATGGTATACGGTAGGCGGTCGATACACGTACAAGCTGGCCGGTTTGATGCACGCGGTTGATGGTTGATGTTACTACTTGTACACTCGAGAGAACTTTTTGGGAATATCTGTGACAAAAAAGCAACTGGGAGGGTACATCGACCGCGGCAGTCCTAACCCTTAACGCACCCGGAACCTCGGATCGGGCTGCTGCTTGCCACTAGAAAGCCTTCCAGTCAAGCGGCAGGCTACAGCAGCTTTCCGAACGCACGTTCAACATCAACTCCAGAAACTGTTGTCTTGAGAAAAGTGCAAAATTCTTGAAAGTTGGTATCACCTGCGGGAGGTTTTGGCTCCGCGAGCAGCAGCAGCTGCAGCAGTCCTCAGCATGATGTTGCTGTTGATGATCTTGTCGTCAGTTCAACACGAGAGAGAAAGCGAGAGAGAGAGAGAGAGATGCAACAGCGCTTTCCAACTCCGCCACGAGAGAAGGAGCAAGAGCGGGAGAACGCGCGCAGAAACGCGGAGAGTTTAAATAACGAACGGGGCTCCGCGAAATTGTTGTATGTACCCTCCTCGACAACCTACCGCCTTCGCTGCCTTCGCTGTCCAGTTCCGCCGCTCCAACCTCCTCCACAACGGGGGAGCCCAGCAGAGCTGCAGAGTAGCGCTGGCGAGAGGAAAACGCCGTAGATCTCTGGGCGTATGGCGGCAAGGGCTGAGAATCGAACCCCAGAGACTGCATAGCCAACGTCCTGTAGACGCAAGTACGCTACCAGAGCATAGTGGCTGGTTGTAAATCTTGAAAGATATTGTACGAACCCAGCAGGAACGTTTCAAAATAAATTACGCCGCACCGGCCGACACCCACCGTTCCACCGTTGGAACCACGCGTCAAGCAAACGCCAAGCATCAACTTTGCGGGTGGGCGCACACCTTTAACCTTCGTGGGGTTATCTACAAGACACGCAAGCTCCCCGGCACCCCTTCGTACTCGTTGCTGCGGGTCATCTCCATACGCGTCGGTCAGGATTCTACACTTCCAACCTCGCATACACCGTCATCTCGAATAGAGTGGTGGGCGTGACAGCATGCCAAACATGTTGGCAGAAGCCAAGAGCGTCGGCAAGTCGCAAGTGAGCAACAGTAGACTAGTCTTGATAGGCATCTCTCTGAGGTAGCTCAGGACGTTTCCCGTCAGGATGATGACGTGAATATTTCTTCGGTCAACCGCCACCAACTACTTTACGACAACAACCGACCACGCTCTTGTGCGGCGGTACAAACAGCACTACCGCCGCGTATGCATATGACGTGTAGCGGCATTCCGAGCGCCATACAAGCAATATTCTCGAAACAGAGAACGAGCGGCATTCTGTGTGGAGAAAGAACACCCTGTCTGTTCACTCATATTTCGAAGTATGTATGTTGGCTCTATTGCTGCCTCCCCTCGAAACGCACACGAACGCACAGGAGCAAGCAGATGATGGAGAGAGCTACAAATTAGGGAGAGGTTCTATGCGAGGCGGGGGAAACGACGCAAAGGGCGATCTTGGTGGGAGCGTGCCGTGGGGTGCCGACTCTAAAGAATGTCAGCAGCAAGGAGAAAACCGAGGGAAAATGCTGAGCAGTCTTGCCAAACAAGCAAGCCCACGACCAAGTGAGGTAAGGGGACGCGGTGTCATCGCTTTTCGGAATGTCAAACGGTTTTCGGACTGAGTCAGTCACTTGCTGTATAATACGTCGAAACCTTGAACGCGGTACAAACCTGTATCACCCCAGGTGGGGGGCATCTTGCAGAAGAACACAGCATTCGTCCAAAGACACGCTATAGATGTACGGTAGCTCCGTGTGTGTTGTAAACGAGCGCATGGGTGTCGGAGCCACAACCTGATGAAAATACATTCCGCCAACTTTGCAACCGGGAATCGGCGCATCATGACCTCTCACGCCTTGAATCAGATGCAGGCATTCTCCAGCCTTCCGAGCCCGTCAGCAGACTCAGGAAAACTTGCGCCTCTGGACATGGGACAAAGAAGTCCCCGCTCACATCGCGCATCGAGGTCGAGACAGCGATCGAGCAGCCCCAAAGAGCACCAAAACGCGTCCTCGGAGGTGAGGCAGAGGAGCGTGATGGCGCATTTTTCTGAAGTCAAATATTCTGCGGGACACACAATAGGTTTGTTTCATGCGATCCGTAGTTTCCAATCGTTTGAGTTCAGGAAGGGGCTATTGCAATCGTTCAACTTGGCTAGAAGCACTCATGACGTTTGGTTACACAGAATAATTAAAAGTAACGTGCAGCCGACGAATATCGTGTGAGCGTTTTGGGGTCAATACCTACGATCCATCATTCGCATTCGAACCAATGTTTCGGTGCACCTTTGACCACACGGCCCAGTAGCAATCATCCGTTAGTTGTGATCGGCATCATAACATGCTTTATCTCGTTGCCAATCCAGAACGCTTGACCTACTACATAGCAAACAATGTTTTAATCGCCCAGTGACTGAAAGTTCCTGGTGACGTTTGTACAGTTTGGCGGATGACGGTTACAAGCTGCCCATGGGAAGCTCGCCAAGAAACCGGAGGCTTTGAACAAGGACATATAACCAAAATATCCTTTCGCTTGCAGTGCTTCTTTCGTCGATCGACACGTTCCGCCTCTCGCGCACTCGTGTCGCACCCGCTCCGCTTCACCGCGGGGCAAATGCTGCCGTCTGGTGGCCTCCATTCATTTCACGGAGAAGGTGACGAGCTCGTCTCTACCAGCCTCAGGCACAAGCAGCCCTGCGTCGCCAAGACTCCCGCCCATGAAGTCAGCGCCATCCCCTTCACACGTGAGACGTCATCGTTGGCGGCCTCACGCAGAGACGCGCAGTTCATAGTCTTCACCGCACCCGTCAAGCAGACAGAGGAGAATCACAAACAACAAATGTCGAACTTACGTTCACGCCAGCTTTCATGAGATACCACCAGGGCGAAGCTTGGGCAGCGTAGTGCGCGGGTGAGCAATGATGTTTCTCCGCACTCTACAATATCCTACAGCTGACGCTTTGACAAAAGTTTGGTTTCGCCCCGTTCGGTCTCCTGCTGCCGCTTCGTTCGGTGTTTTTCCCAGGATGAATCTCCCCTCCCCGGTTTGTCGCTCTCTCCGAGAAGTGGCGCGCACTCCGCCCGTCGGGTCCGAAGCCTTCCCCCGACTCCCAAGAGAGCTTCGTGCACCAACCTTGACCCTGTTAGCGATAGCGTCGAGTTCGCTCGGCCTCAGAGCCGCGGCGGCCCGGCCGGCAACGGCAGCAAGTTTTCTCCACTCCTCGATGCGAAAGAGGGCTCCACGTCGCCACGGTATAGAGATCCCGCCCTATGCGCAGCGGATAGCAACAAGCGCGGAGGGGAGCTTGCAGCTGAACGTGGTGGTGGCGGGTTAGGACGTGAATCGCGAAGCCTTTCGAGGGGGGCGGCGGAAGCGAAAAGCGAGGTCGGGTGCACTCGTCTTCCGGGGACAAAGTGAGTCTTTCAGCTAGGCATTTCGAAGCGAGAGAAGTGCGGTGTGCTCGGCTTTTTGCCCATGAGAAAATAACACTCAGAATCGTTCAGTTTGAGCTTCAGGATGGCGGTTGGTGGCGTTTCTTGCACGTGCTGTGCATCGTTCGTCTGCAAAGGGCCCTGGTGTTGCCTTCGTGTCCCATGTGTGGTTCTAAATGTGAGCCCAGCAGAGCCCTTTGCGGACTGTGAGATCTGACAAACAACATGGTTGGTTGCCAGGGAAACCAAGGGAGCCCTTGACTTGCTTACACACCGCCTCTCTCTCTGCTTTTTCTCTCTTACAGACGACGATAGGTGAAACGTTTTGCAGACATCAAAGAGAATGCTAGAGCGGCCGATCGATAACCAATTCGGCGTACATAATGGAAGGTACAAAAGGTACAACCGAAAGGGCGAGGATGCAGTAGCTCCAACTAAATCATCCATAACACATTCAAAACGGCGCAGTGACAAATTGACCCTCCCAAAATGACGGTATTCAGCGATTGAGAGGTTTCAAGACGCAGATGTCGACATCTGGCAAGAGTGTGATTCCATTTTTGTACTACAACCTCCAGTGTTGGCTGTGCCAACGTGCCCCCACCACGTCTCTGGAGGTGGATTCCACAAGCTTCCGGGTTTTGCAGCTGGATCAATACCATACCATAAAGCCGGTCGCCCCGGTGGTCTAGTTGGTAGCCTCGTAACCTTCTAGAGGTCAGGTCAGGGGTTCGAATCCCGGCGTAGGCGAGATTTTCTTGCAAAGTGAGTTTTTCTCTCGCTTCCGCTCCTGGCCAAGTGGATAGCGCTAGTTCGTGTGTACACAGAGGGAAGAGAGTGCTGAACTCTCCTCGCATTAAAAATTGAAGGCGAAGTACCGCAGGAGGGAAGGGTAGAGAGAGGCTCTTCTGTGTGACCACGGGTTGGAATAAACGGCACTAGTGCTGTGAGCGCTGATTTGAAGTGAAAAAAAAAAAAAAAAACCAAGCCTTTACAACAATAACAACGTGATCATTCCGATCATGTTCCGTCCTTTTGTCTCAATCATGTTTTCAGGTCCACCTCACCACCGCGAGACAGAGGAGAGGGTAGCGAGGGCAGACCCCGTTTGTCGAGTGAGAGTCTTCCGGGCGCTTCCCCTTCATCTTCCAACGGCACTTGGCGCAGGCAGCGGAGCTCGCAGAACGTGGATGCGGCGCATTCCACGAAACGATCGAGTGAGAGAAATAGCCACGGTACGGTACCGACGACGGTAGTGTACGGTGCTGGAGGCTTGTAGACGACAGCGAGAGTACAGTCCGCCTGCCCATCTACTTTTTCTAGAGGGTATCTCACCGATTCCCGGACTTACGGGCGTTTGCCAATCCTGTACATTCTGTTTTGAGTGTGCCCATGGTCTCCTGCAAGTTTCTCGATAAATAGTTCCGCTGGTATCCAAAGCCTGGAATTCACATCCAGCTGCCTGCCGGGTTCGAAGCCTTTCCGCGAACAAGAAGACTCGAAGCCTACACGGAAACCGTATAATAGCAAAAACGGGTTTTCAACGCAAGGCCGTGAATGATGGGATTCTTTGTACTACTCCCTCACCAAGGACACGACCGCTGCACATGGGGATGTCACCCTTTCCCGTCCGGCCTCTAACACGCGTGTTTCCCTGATTTTGAAATGTTGAAGGTGGGGACGTTAGTCCCGCCGGGGGTGAACGCAACGGCAACCATCGCTACGAGGGCTATGGCGAGGAAAAGGACTTCGGAAGCGTTCCCAACAGCCCGTCCATGGCCAGAGGTGCGAAAAGCTGTTCCTTAAATCTGCGAGTTTCGACAAGTTTCAGCTTGCTCGTTTCTGGCACCAGCGTGTATTGCTGCGCATGATGCCTGCGGCAGGTACGTGGATTCCTCTCGTATTTCCAAGCAAACAAACATGTGCCTCTAGAAGAACGATGCGTCTGTGAAACCCACGCCCAGTAAGGCAGTCTGGTACTTCGTCGCAGTAGGTTACTGCTCCGGTTGGGCCGGGGTCTGGGGTCATCTGTAGGGCCTGAGGTACATTGTGTTACCCTTCTCATTTCACCAAGCCTGTGAACGAAGGACACCTTGCGACCATCAATGGCAGAGAGCTTCATTTGGGGCAGCTTGCGCACAACAACAACCCCATCAACCGTTTGACGGTAGACGGGGAGGAACATAGATAAAGAAACAGGCTGATTCTAACCCGCCGCAGTCGAAGGGGTTTCGGATGATGTTGCGCATCCATGACCGATTTCTCCGTCTCTTCTCCGTCTCCAGCGCAAGTGAGGTTTTCTGTCCCGATAGGATCCATTCTTCCGCCACAGACGTTCCGCGATCCTGCGGGGTGTCGGCATAAACCCAATCCCCCGAAAAAATCTTGGACAAATCGAGCTTGCATAGTACTCCTGCCAGCTGCGCAATCCTGCAGCAAAAAACGCACTGAGATGTAACGATTTGAGAGGCAGAAGCTGTTTGGTTGAAGGGGGCTCATCCAAAAGTAGCTGCACCCTCGAATTGTGGAAATGTGGCAAAGAAACGGCTACAGTCCAAGCACATGAAGAATACTCGGTAAGAAATCTCTCACTCTCGAGTAGCATGCTCCCTTCAGTTTTTTCTACCGCCACTCTAGCGATGAAAGCCAGGAGGTGGTGGTGCGTGACGTTTGACCGACAAGTCGATGTTACTTAACTGTCGACTTGTTCACCGCTGCCCATGTTTTTCGCGCATTTCACACGCTGTCTGCCCGCGCACCGATGTTGCTCACTGACTCGGCCTACGCAGGCGAGGAGAGCTCCAAGAGTCCAAGAACACGCCGGATGCGACCCCAGCGTGATAGCGCGGTGTAGATCGCGCGTGCAACCACTCTCAAGGGTCAGCGCGCAGTTCCCACATCACGATGGATGTTCCCGGAACGCACGATTCGATATCACGTACAATGTGTTTTCGTCACAATTGAGCGGACATGGGACATGAAGGAACCGAAGGGCAAGGGGCAGCGGGGACGGGAATAGCGCGGCTTGCGCTGAACAGATCCGGAGTTTCTACTCGCGAATGGTCTCGCAGCGGCTCCGAAACGTGCAGGCAGCGCCACGTGGCAAACCGAGTTCAAGAGGATTTTGATGTTATTACGTTGATAATGGAATATAGGGTCAGGGAAGGTAGTTCGTGCTAGGCACACGATCAGGGACGCAGCGGTGACCTGCAGAAACCGTTAGTGGGTCGTTTGAGTTGTACGTTCGATGCAACAGGTTTGGTTTAGGCCGCATGTTATTCAAAGGACGCTCACTGTACTTACTGCGAGATAGACGTCCTGACCAAGGGAGAATCACACGTCGATGGGCCGTGTGACTAGAATGCACGTGGTCCAATCAGGCCTTGCTCAATAACGAATAAATGGGTTGAGCAGCGGTTTTCGTTTGCAAGAGTACATTTATCTTCAATCCATTCTGGACGTTCAGCTATTGGAGTGCGTCAAAACCTGTGTGCACGGTAGGCATGCCACGTCTTGTGGACGGCAGAAAAGGCAGGATCGTTGGCCGCCGAAACCTCGTGTCGTTGGCATACGTCGGTTGACGGAAGGCAGCGGCTGGTGGAAACATCGCGCCGAACATTCGTTTAGAATGATCGAAAACGTTCAACTCCCCGCCACCCTCCAAACACGGCGACAGCAATTCTCCAGCCCAGCTGAGTTGTAAGGGGCCAAGCACGTGGTGCCAGTGGACCAAGGCTTCTTTGCGTTTGTGTTCCTCACTTTTGTAGTCCATCGTTCGCTTTACACTGAAAGTTTCGCCGTTGTTTCCCCTCGTTTATGGTGTTTATTTTCTTCGCCCCATGCGTTTCCTGGATTCGACAACCACGCGACTAACAATTGTGCGGCGCCTAAACGAGAGATTCGGCTCGGTCCATGCCTTTCCTCTCTCACATACAGCAAGTTGAAAATGGAGGAAGGCAGTCTTATTTGTTTTTTTCACTTTTGATCAGCGCTCACAGACTTTCTGCCGGGTGGGAGGTCCAGTCCGTGGTCACATCATCACACAGGAGGGTTCTTCCCCCTTAGTCCCCCTACGCACTACCCACTACCCACCCTCCTGCGGTGCTTGCCTTCGGCCTTTATGGCGAGAAGAACCTGGAACAGCGAAAACATCGTTGAAAATAGCTTTGGAAGACAGCATCACATCGGTGTTCCGACTCCGTCAAAGCCTTCCTCGCCATTTCTCGGTCACACCCACGTGTGTTATCTCACCTCCTGCATGAATCCTGATAGCGATAAGCAAAAGGCTGTCCTCGCACGCCGGAAGGTATTGCCGCGCAAGAGACAAGGGCTTTGCGGACATGAACTGAGATGGTCTGTTTTCATAGCTCACAATATTGAGAAGAATAGCTAGGGGGGTGGGGTTCCTAGGCCACATTGAATGTTTCTACCATCACACCACTTCTACCAGGTAAATCAACGCCTGAAGGATATCGCCAGGTTATGTGACACATCCTAAGGTGTAGTACGCCCGCGATATGGCCTAATATGAGCCAACTATTCCTTTTCTGGGACTACATTCGCAAGGGTATTTGTATTGACCCATGAAATAGAGAGGGGTGGTTCGTATCCCTGTCCCCAACCCTGACCCTGACCCCCAACCCCCAACCCCGCCCCGTACCCCCTGCTAAAACCAAGCTCATATCCTCGCGGACTGCTGCTTGCCTGATGCAGGCATCGTGCAAGACACGTGAGATTACCGCAGCAAGCCGCAGAGTGGTTGTTGGCTGATATTACCTCATGCGCAGGAGCAACACTATTGACATCGTATTGTTCAGAGACTACGGTTGATGCCCAGTATTGTTGACATCCCAGCTCTCAGAAAGTGCACAAATATGTTGTATGTATGCCGTACACTCTAATCTTCGTACTTCGAAGTAGTTATTTTCGCTACTCGTTGTCGGCCGAACGTTTCGCGCATGCCTGGGACCACTCTGCACTGCAGATGCCACGGTCGAGCATGTCCCCTACTACGTGGGCTCTACGCTCCAGGCGGCATGAGGGGTAGGATTGATGCTCGGTCGCGTCTGGCTGACAGCATCAGATGAAGACCGATGTACGAACGGGAAAGTCACAGACGTTCCTCCGATGTCGTGTGCGGCTCTCTACTTGTACGAACGCTCGCCCGAGTGACGCCGGTCATCTTCCGAATATTTCCCCTCCCCCGTGGAAGGGACACCACCTCGTGGCACCGAGTCCGGCTCCTTACCCTCGCTTCCGGCGGTTGGCTTGCTCTCCTGACCAAGATGGCGCTTCTTCCTCAGAGACTTCTCGGCCTCCTTTTTCATGACGTTGAAAAAGCTGTCGTAGTCGGCGGAGGCCAACAAGCAGTTGATGAACAGCTGTACCTGATTGGTTTCAAGCACGTCGATCGTGGCACCGAGGCGCAATGCCATTGAGGGGAGAACTCCGGGCATCGAGCACAGGAGTACGTGGTTGTGGGTTGCAGTGAAATTCCATATGCCCACTAGATTAATATCTCCATGTACGTGTAGGCGGATGCTTATTGTGCGGCAGGTTACGATTGTGGGACGTTCAATTACCAAAAACCCCGTCGAAGCATGCGTTGACAGAGTTGTTCAGTCAAGACGCCGCGTTTGTGATGCTACAGGCAAGCGCCGGCGGAATGCTTAGGCCACGGAACTCGCGAAGGTTTGCAAGTACATCGTTGGTGGATTCCCATAAACTAGCACCTGGGAAAAAATTCACAGCAATAACCGCCGTCACGCATGACACACAATGGAGGGCGAGTCGTGTGTTTTAGAAGAGCCGCTACATCTAACCACAGAAGGTATGGAAATTTCGGTGGGCGTCGAACCCTGCTGTTCAAGCTCAAAACCCAGTTGACGGCAAGCCACACACATTGCTAAATGATTTTTTCGAATGTTCCGCACCGGTCGTCCTACCCAATTGGTGTGTGTCAAACGCGAATTTATGCCACTGAGAAGATCCCCGTGTTTGGGGGTACCTGCGGGTCTGGGTTGGTCTGGTGGTCTCTGATGACATTGTAGAACTCGTTGATTGTGCTCCCTTCCCTCTCTGCCTCGGCACAACACGATAATGGGTGTAAGAGCTGGGAACCAGCCGGAGCCAGGAGAGCCCTTGTACTCACCGGAAACAGAGCAGTTAAGGGGTGCAGACATCTAGAACGAGTTTTTTTACCGTTGGCTCTCTCTGATCGACCATAGTTCTCTCCTTCTATTCCTGGTCGTGGCTCCTGTCAGAAGGGACGCGTCAGTTTGGCGGGCGTCTCGTCTGGTGTGAAGCTCTGCATGTTTGAAGCCGTCTTGGAGACCAGGAGCACGAAATATCTCGGTCGTGAAGAACTGAACACGTGACAAATCTTTCGGAAGACGATGCTCTTGCTCTCAACGTCTTTCTACGAAACAACTGGATACGGACAGCATTGAAAACGTGATTTAGAGAAAATATTTTGCTCGCAGCTCAGCGCTTGTCACGCATATTTAGACACTGAACGGGGGGTCACACCGAAACAGCTATTGACATTCACCCCACCATTATGCCAAAGCCGACTTCCCTCTAGGCTTGTCTGCGTTCTTCTTTTTTGTGTTGCTGAAAACTCCATCTCTATCTACCTACTGTACACCGCTGCCACAATCTATCTTTGCTGTCGGGCAGACTGATATGTGCACACTTTTGCCTTACCTATGAACTCCTCCAGCTTCCCCTCGAAGATCAACAAGTACTCATTGAACAACTCTTGGTACTCAAGGGCGTGCTCTTCGGACTTCCCATCCGCCATCACCTGCGGAATATTTGCGGTGTATACATTGGCAGACACCACCAGGAATTAACCGTAGCGTATTCGTACAGACGAAACTTGTGTTTGGAGCACTGGGAAGTACTGCAAGCTGGATGCTGATGTAGGATGGTTTCCACCATGTCTGGGCTACACGGTATACTTTATTGCAGGCGCCCAGACCGTCTTGTGCGCACGTGTTCGTTAGGGTGGGAAGTCTTCACGTCGCGACGCCCCCCACGACTATATCCCGGAACAAACTCTGCAACTTTCGCACCTCGAATACTTCCGCATGCTTGCGGAAGTAAGCTCGAAAGACATCGAGGAAATTGTCGCTCCAGCAATGCTTGATCGCCTTTGCCAGGAGGTCCTCTTCCCCTCCGCCCTGCCCCTTGCTTTCGCCTTCGTCTCCGTGCGAGTCCCTCTTTGGCATCGCAAGGCCGACCCCACAACGACCAGCCTCGGCAGGTCCAGCAAGTGAGTGTTTTGGAATCTTGGGGAGACTTCGACAGCTCGATTTGAACCTGCTTGGGGTCGAGTCACCGCATCGGCAAATTGCCGATGTTGTCTCCACTAGGGTGCGCTCAGCGAATCGAGAACGCAGTGGCCGACCTTTGAGGTTTGAGAGGTTCCTGTGCCTCTGGAGACCGATCGCACGACATGCGGTGGGTCCGTAGGCCGAAACGGCAACAGACACCCCGCACATACTGTGGTTTGTGCCTCTTCGTTTCATCTCATCTACGAATCCCTCGCAAACCAGGTGGAACTCCCGTTTGGAGGTTGCCCCCCCCGCACCTATGCCCTTCACCCTTTCACGAGTGTTTGCAAGACCGCGTGCATCGTGTACACAACCCTGCTCTAGCCGAGATGGCCAGGAAGGCACCGGCCAACGATTTGGAGATTGGTGGATCAAGCATGAGCGGCCGAGCCAAGAACCCCGGCATCCAAACTATCAGCCCCAAAGAGCCAAACAGCCGAGACAAGACAGGATACAACATCGAAGCTCGCGCTGCTGCGGATGCCTTGGGCAACATGCAGGAGGCTTCGCCGCAGGAGCTACAGGACATCCAAGATGTAAGTTTGGGGTGCTCTCCCCTCTCATTGTTATGTGGCGTCTCCCCCAACGTCGATGTTCGCTACGATGCCGGCACACCATTTCAAGATCCACCCTGCCGCATTGATCCATTTGAGTCTGGTCGCTACCGGATGCTACCGAGCGCTGTATCTTCCCGCCGGCCAAATGCATTTAATGGGAGCAGTTGTACTGCAGGCAGGAGGAGACGGCGAGGTAGGAGTTACGCATGCACACGTGATGCGGAGTGAGGCATGTCAAAGAGGGGGATAAACAAACTGCTCCTCCCAACGACTGCTGTCCCGTAGCAATGCTGTAACTGACGCCATAACATCTTTGACACTCGACAAGCCTTGGGCTTCCTAAGCATACAGTAACTCGAGATGGCACGTGCGTCCTCTTTCGACGTATCGCCGCCCTCTTTTGCGATCAAACGGTAGCTGATGAGGCTGAAGGACACGGACCCTGACCAGTTCGCGGAGTACGTGCAAATGGCCGCGGATGCTGCCAAGCTAGCCGAAGAGCGACCAGACGTCTTCGAGCAGCTCATGCGAGGCGACGGAGCAGCAGGTGCTACTGACGAGTACCCACCCCGTAGCAATCATGCTACTGCTTTTTATTTAAAACTCTTTTTCCCATGCCATACACGCAAGTGGTACCCCCCCCCCGGTGTTTGCCATCGGGGTTTGGGTTTTCGTCGCTTGGCAACGACGTTGTAAAACAAGCCCCCCACTCGGTGTTTGCCATCGGGATTGGGTTTTCGTCGCTTGGCAACGACGTTGTAAAACAAGCCAATTCACTTCGTGAACTCGGCAACCAGGTTACCGTTTTTTTTTTTTTACCTCGTTTTTTTTTTTGGCGGTAACCATAATGGTGGTCGAGTAGATCATGTTGTGCGGGGTCGAGAACCCTCACTCCGCGCAACGGGGGATGATCGCACCACGTTGTGTTAAAATGGTCAAGCACCCTCGAGGCAGGTACACAGTGCTTACAACTGTCTCTGGAAGTGAAAGCACCAGAAAATAAATTAAGTCATACGCAGCTGTCATCCGTACGCAAGGAAGTAAGCACAAGATGCCGAACACCCTTAGCAGGATGCAGCTCACCCTTCATGCGACTCGCCAAATACCTCACGGTGCTTCGCGCTTGGTGATGTGAGAGCCTTGTCCGGTGAGAACCCGGCGTGCTCCGTCCCGGCTTTGTAGGGATGCGAGGTCAATGGTCTAATGACTACGGCATGCACGACTATGAGTACCCCCCCCCCCCCCCCCGCCGCAGGCCCCCTTTGCCCCCGGCCTTTTAAAGCTACCCCGGGTTCCCAAACCTGTTCCTA